CCTTCCTTCCTTCCTTCCTTCCTTCCTTCCTTCCTTCCTTCCTTCCTAGTGGTTAGAATGCAGTATTGCAGGCTAACTCTGCCCACTGCCAGCAATTCAATCCTGGCTCAAGTTTGACTCAGCCTTCCATCCTTCCGAGGTGGGTAAAATGAGGACCAAATGCTAAAATTGTTGGGGGGCAAAAGGCTGACTCTGTAAACCGCTTAGAGAGGGCTGTAAAGCACCGTGAAGCGGTATATAAGTTTAAGGGCTATTGCTATCTTCCTTCCTTCTTTCCTAGTGGTTAGAATGCAGTATTGCAGGCTAACTCTGCCCACTGCCAGCAATTCAATCCTGGCTCAAGTTTGACTCAGCCTTCCATCCTTCCGAGGTGGGTAAAATGAGGACCAAATGCTAAAATTGTTGGGGGGCAAAAGGCTGACTCTGTAAAGCGCTTAGAGAGGGGCTGTAAAGCACTGTAAAGCGGCATATAAATGCTATCACTATCTGCAGACACAATCGGAGTGAAGCAGCTCACCTTCGCTCTCGCGTCTGGCTCTGACTCCTGTTTAGAAGCTTGTAAGCGGAGTTCTTGCTCTTTTTTTCCCCCTTTACATAACATGTCTTTTATGCAACACTTACCTCCTCCACAGAGCAAAAAAACCCATCCTTGTAACGTTCCAATTATTTCAATTATTCCCACCCCACACGCACCTCCCGGCAAATCCTTTTAATAGCTTGCTTTGCTCTCGGCGCTCCTGGGAAAACTTGCGGTGCTTCGAACCGGAGATCTGTAGGCATTCGCAGAGTTCCCCATCTTTGAAAGTTGCCTGCCTGTTTCCAACCCCCTCCTCAGCTTTTTTTCTTGCTTTTCCAAAGTCTGTTTTCTCTTCCAAGCCCCCCCCCAACCCCTCTCTCTTTCCAAAGCTGTTTGCAATGTGCGTGAAAGGGGTAATCAGCGCGGCACAAGTCAAGTAAAATATAATTGAATGATCAGGTCAGAATTAGATCCAGGAGCATTTTCTTAAAAAAGTTTTTATTTTTAATCTCTTACATACAATTACAGGTATACAGTTACATAGTTATTATTCTTATTTATATTTATCACTTTATACATTCTGGGCTGCTTTGCTCATCATCCCATACACCTGTTTCGTATTGTCACCACCCTGCTTTTCCCTTCTTTTCCCCCTCTCTCCCTTCTCTTCTTCCTTCCTCCTCTCCTTTCCCTTTCCTTCTTCCCTTGCCTCTCCCCTGCCCCTCTCTTCCTCTTCCCCCTCCTGCCCTCTCTCCTCCTCTTTCTATCCTTACCAGCCTTCCTCTCCTTTCCTCTTCCTTCCTTCCCTCTCTTCTCCTCTCCTCTCTTCCATTCCTTTTCGGTTGTCACGATGATCTCTTTTCATCTCTCTTACTGGTGTATTTTCAGGATGATATTCCCGCAATCGCTTTATGCTTATCATTTCCGATCCAGGAGCATTCACAAGGGTGTCCTTGCCTTTGGAGACTCTTGGTACGCTTAGGGGAATGTTACTATTACACATTGTGAAACCTCTTTTATCGGAGCCAAAGAAACCGAGTGTGAAACGCAGCAGGGGCAGGCGAGTGGGCTTCAGTTGGGAGCTAATGCGTTCAGAAGGATATCGTTACTCTAACAATGTTTACAGATATGTTTTAAAATGTTCCCTGCCATATATCGGTACGGTAACAATTACAAGAAATGTAATGCAAGGCTGACTCAACACATGGGCTTTATGGACACTTGCCTGTGGGCCCCATGAGCATAGGGGCCCCATACTAATCTGTGTATGTTAACCCTTCAATGCACCTTGGATCATATCAATACAGCTGTCAGGCCTGCCGCCATCTTTTCTTTTGGATCTTTGGCCTGCCACACTTTCTAATCTTCTACCATGCATTTTCTATTGTGGGAAAATGGAAGGTGGGGGGGATTGTATGGAGTTAGATGACAGGTAGCCATAACAACATTCTTTCTAGAAAGCCAAGGTCNAGCTGTTCCCTTCTCCTGGCAGCTCTGCGCATGCACACATCGGGAACAGGCTCCAGCTGTTCTTCTGCCTCACTGATGTCTGACTCCGAAGCCAGCTGATAATTGTTGGACAACCCTGGGCCCATCTCTGCCTCTCCCCTGGCATGCTAAGCCCTACCACCCTTTGATGGACATCAGTCAAGATGGCTAGTTTTGCACCAGCCCCTTCGCCAAAATGGATCAGGATTGACTCTGTGCTTTTTCCAACAGGATTCGTGAGAAGGAATCGGTGGAGGAAGTAAAGCACCAGGAACACTTGCAGAAAAGGATGGAAACGGTGTTGTCCCTGAAAAATAGCATCAGTTCAAACCGGGTGAGGGCTAGCTGCTTGAGAAGAAGAATGTGCCTTTAATGCTTTTTACCATAAAGCTTTCAAAATTGGGCCTTCCGGTTTCAATTAATTAAACTCCAGTGGGGTGTGGGAAGAATCCTATCCCAGTCTCTTTTTTTCTTCCAGGGGTTGTGACACTATATATATATATATATATATATATATATATATAATTTTTAATACTCTTGTCTAGGAAAATCTCCGAACTCGTCAAGTCCTGGGCAAATTGATTGGACTTGATGCTCAAGAGCAAGATCAGAAAATCAAGGAAGCCATTCAGGCTGAAGGACACAACGTGACCCGGGAATTTTTTTGCCAGAAGCGACAAATCGAGTTTGAAAAGCGGAAAAAGTGAGCAGCTAATTTTCGGTGAAATACCATGTTGATGGAGGTGGGGGGCGGGAGCGTTGGGAAGAGTGCTGTAAATTAACAGCCTTATTGTTATTTCCTTCTAAGTCCTCCATAGGTGAAACCCATTGCAAAAGGCGGGGGGGGGGGGGGAAAAGTTTTTTAAAAAGGCATTTGGACTATAACTCCTTGCCATTAATTAATTAAGAATTTAATCTTCCTCTAACATTTCAGGGCAATTTTCTGCTTGAAACGATTCTTTTTTGTTTTAAATAGCTGTATCGTTTTAAAAGTACTATGTGCGCACATAGATATATAATTTTTTCCTTTCTGTAATGTTATTTTTAAGGTATTTTCCAAATTTCAGAAAATGTTGGCTAGAAGTAACCTCAATGTTAATGGAGTAGATCTACAAAATAGAATTATTAACCCCTCTCCATCTGAACTCCTCCTTCCTGATAGCTGGTCATTTCTTGTTAAAAGCATGGAAATTCTTCTTCCTTAGTTAAATTTTGTCAACAGGTGGGAGGAGACCTGAATTTTTGCAGCTAGTAGCCACCAGCTAACCTCAACAGTCCCTTTCAAGGAGGGATATTTGCAAATGCAATAAGAATGCAGGTCACAAAATAAAGGACACAGTTTCCCTCCTTCTCCTCGTCCTCCTCGTCTTCCTCCTTGTCCTCCTCGTCCTCCTCCTCTTCTTCAACCAAACTTGGTATACAGATGACTTACTCTCTGGAAACAAATACTGTGGGGGGTAAGACATTCCTAAAACCCCTCGGTGTGTGTGTTCTGTTAAGATATAGCCTGCTGTGCCTTAAAATGGCTTCTACGGTACTTCCGTAAAATGGCTTCTACTGTACAGCATAGTGGATTTGCCATAGTAACGGCTTCACAGTACTCCACAAGGGGGAAAATCCAACATTAGAATTTATGTTTGGTCCGGACATTTTCCCCCTATAACTAAATACTCGGACAACACTGGATTATCGGCTAGTATGTTTTTAAAAAGGATAAATCCTTCGGGATTGGGCGGCCTATAAATTTATTAAATATTAAATACTTAAATAAAAGGATTATTCCGCTTGGGCTGTTAGGTCAGCGGTTTGTTTCCTCTTGTTTCCCTGGGGTCTGTTCCCAGTTTGTCTCCATTGTCTGCCGTTGCGTCGCCCACAGGGAGTTTCTGGACCAGCAGAAGACAAGGAAAATCGAAATCGTCGCTCGGATTTTGAGAGAAGAAGCGCAGGCGGAGAGAATAAAAGCGCAATCTCGCCCCCAGAAATCGAAAGGCCCGGACAAACTCTCCGACGCCGTTAAGTGGCGCTTGAAAACGTGGCGTTACATTGAGGAAACGTGCAGCGATAAGGTGGTGCCCGTCACACCGGTGAGAGGAAGCAGGGAGGGCTTCTTATTGTTGGTAGGACTGTTGGAATCAAATCAAAATCCTTCTACATCCTCCCTTCCTTCAATTAGCATCTTGTAAAGGTTCTATGAAATGGCCCAGAATGGAAACTCTCCTAATTTGTCAATGTGGGATTTAATCTCCGCAGACATCAGCCTGGACAGGAAATGCAGAGTTGTATATCTTAATTCCCCCCCCCCTTTTTTTCATAAATAGTAGATTTAAATAGGACGAATCTATGTGGGCCTTTCTTGGTTTGCACACCCCAGCAGTAAAGATGAGGTATACTGGTCCATAAGCCAAGACCAGACAACCTTAAACACTCAAAGAGCCACAAAGGTCCTAATTGGAAGCCCCCCCCCCTTCAATTCTGAAGACAGCTGGAAGTCCGGTTCCCACCCTACCATAGAGTCTCCTCCTAGCGTGGCATCCTTCTTCCTCTACTTGTCCTAACTGAAAACCCTATCAATTGTGGAGCCGACCGGCAACAGGGAGCTGCAGCAGAGGGATTAAAGAGCCACAAGCGGCTCCAGAGCCACAGGTTGATGACCCCTGGCCAAGACATAATGATTTAATGCCATCTTGGTTTGTCTTCACAGATGTTCTTGGCAAGAAAGCCATTTATTTGGAAGTAGTGATGGGTCTGTTTCAAATTAATTGGAGTTTCTGGGAGTTTTATGATGAATTGGATGTGCTTTTTTCTCCTAATTCTTCCAATATTTTTTGTGATTTAATTCACCCGGCTAAAATCACCGTTTGACGTTTTCACCTATCATGAGCGTCTCTCTCTCTCCCCCTCTCCCCCCTCTCTCCTGTGGCAGAAACCTTGGCGCAGCCCTTCTGTTTCCCCCTCGCTGGATGACAGAAGTTGTAACGCCTCTTGCGACTACATCCTCGAAAGCAAAACCGAAGGCGAACAGGAAAATGAGGACAATATTCTCGCGGAGGCCGAATTTGTGGGGATCTGGGACCAGGAATATAACCCGCTGCAGGTACAGATCCATAAATGTGATTTATGACACCCTGGGAGGATGGGGGAAACAGGGTCATAATTGGGTTGTCAATTACGTGGGATCAGAGTTGGCTTCACTTGGATACGTGCCGACATGTCGCTCCTAATAAACAACTGGATTTCTTTTGGAACTTGGCTCAAGGCTCATGATTTAATTAGGGCATCCTAATTAAGGAACCCTGACACCCTACTTTAGCTGAAAAGAGATAATTTCTTTTATTAAAAAAGATAGAGAATAAATGGAGAAAGCCACCATTTCCCCCCAAATCTGCTAGTCCCTTCTGAATCAAACACTTTTTTTTATCAAACTGCTTTATTTTATAAGCCCTTTTGAAACCACCGTTGCCTATTTCTCAGATCTTGGATGACAAAATTGATTCCAAACCCCTCGGGGTATCGAAACTCGAAAAGGACATTTTTGCCCGGAACTTGGAAAAGCTACATGCCGGAGTCATTCGCAAACACCGCGTTTGCGGGCGTGAGTTTAAAGGATGTCCTTTTTACAGCAAGCCGAGCCTCATTCATTTCAAGGTGAGATATGACTTGATCAACAGCGTTCACACCGCGGGCCAAGTGAGGTTGTTTCAATCAGGACTAGGCCTGGGGTTGCGATAACCCAGGGCGTGGCACAAAGGCAACACAGCCAGAGAACTGGTATGGGTCCCTTTTTTGGCACCAATTGTGCTCCCAGCGTCCCTTTCACTCCCCGTCCTGCACAAAAGCTCTCCCACAAACCTGTAGCCCAAACGCTGTAAGCAGAATGATTGCAATCAGTCACACCAGCAGGGCAAGATTGGGAGTCCCAGGAGCGAAAGATAATTCCAGCAACACGAGATAAACATACAGAAGATCGGGTGGGAGGGAATGCCAGGAATCCAGGCCACAACTCTACACTAGGAGAACTCAGTGTTTGTTCCTGACAAACACCCCTCCCAACTGCCTCTCCTTTAAACTCCATCCCCAGGTGTGCCTTGTGAAGGGAATCGGGGGAACCTTCCTTCTTCGTAAGCCACACAACCCCCGTTGCTCTCTTCTGCGTTCTTCCCTATGCTCCCTAGGATAAGCAGAGCTGGTGTGCCTTGGTCTTCATCTGAATTCCCCTCTCCCTTCTTCTACCTCTCCCCTGCTCTCAGTGGTGGGTTTCAAAAACTGTTCGAACCTACTCTGTGGGTGTGGCCTCCTTTGTGGGAGTGGCTTGCCGCCCATGTGACCGGATGGGAGAGGCTTGCCGCCCATGTGACCAGATATGAAGGTGCTGACGACACTTGTCAGAACCACCTTAAATGACCTCACACACAGCACTGGCATGCATAAGAATAGGATGTAAACTTGTTTTTTAAAAGGCATCTTTGGTTTGCGTTCTGATTGCACCACAAACGCAGTAGTCATCCTTACCTTNGGGGGGGGGGTTGGACTAGATGACCTACAAGGTCCCTTCCAACTCTGTTATCTGAACCTACATTCTTTGCAGTTGGGTCACGCCAGGGGCTGCTGTAATTATTATTTTAAATGCAACCTCTGATGTCTGCAGGGGGCACCAAATAAAGAATCTCTTATTCGAAGTTCTGCCCGTCAGCTGGTGTAAAGCTTTCGAAAGAGACCGAGAAGGATGCTTTTTAGAGTAGAATTGAAAAACATTCCATTACTATAAACCTCCGAAGGTTCAGAAGAACAGCGGCCTTGAACCCCTCCGGGCTGCAGAATTGTTTGTTACGTGCTGGTTTTTAAACAATTCACTCTTTCCCATTTTCTTCCGCTTTCTTTCTTTCTTTTCTCCCCTCCTCCCCTCCTCCTTTTAATGGCTCAGCGCGGCCGTGAATCGCCTACAGGCACTGCATCGGCGCTTGTGCACCGAACTGGGAAACGAAAAGGGACTGGAGTCCAAAATCACGGCAGCCCTAAATGAAAGCGTGTAAGTGAAAGGAGAGCGGGGTTGGGGGGGCGGGGAGAGAGAGGGGGGCACAGATTGGGCCAACCAATCCTTGTGCTTTCCTCTTAATGCAATTTAGCGGCTTGGCCTGACTTTGGGAGTGGGGAGGGGAACACTCTCTAAAATATGAATGCTTCATAGGGTGAAGGGGAATGGATCTATAAATATGCAAAGCGCGTTCCGCGTTTTCCAAGCTCCGTTAGAAAAGTTTGGGCTTTGGCAAGGAAGCTTTTCATCCCATCTCCCCCCATCTTCCTAACTCTTTAAACAGTCCTGCCCAAGTGAAATGCCTCCATATTCCTATACTGCTGTGTTTTCTGTAGGAATTCAACCTGTCACTTTAGTATCCCCTTCCCCTTCCTCCTCCCCCAATGAAACCTCGTAAGGGAGGTTGTTAAGTGAATCGGGCTATTCTGAGTTCGCATGAAGCAAACTCCCGGTCTCGACAAAACCCCCTTTTATGAATTGACTGTGGATTCTGCTCCTTCACATCCAGCAAAGTCTTTCGAGGGAGGATTTACAGTCACAGACCTTATCTGGCTTGGAGAGCTGCCAGGCNACCCTGAGCCGGTGAGATTTGAACAGCCGAACTGCAGAACTGCAGTCAGCTGAAGTAGCCTGCAGTGCTGCATTTAACCACTGCGCCATCTTGGCCCGATGAGCAGAATAAAAAGCCTCATTATGTGCCTGAGAGCACAAAAAAAAAACCGAATGGGTGAAGGTGGCCCCCTGCAAATGCTTAAATTGAAAAGAAACAATTGGAGGCCGGATTGGATAAAAGTTGCATTCTGTTCGAATAAACCAGAGTAAATCTGATCCTCTCGCAATGAAGATGCCTTCGTTGCCCCCACACCCAACCTTTTGCAGCTAGAGGCCTGGCATTTGGCAAAGGTGGCATCCAAGGACAGGTGGGATCTTTCCTCTGCGATATTTTCCCATTATCATCCAGTTTCTATCGTGTTACAAAGCATTAGGATTAAATTGGGTTTAAGGACTTTATTTAAGGGGCCCCCATCAAAGCACAGGGAGTCTTGAATTTCCCGTGTGTGTTTTTTTTTTCTTCTTGAAGTTGCCAAATGTGTGTTCTGATCGAGGCTTCCCCAAAAAGCACCAGGCAGACTCCTGGGCCCCGACAAAACCCCTTTTATTAATCGAGTGTGAGTTCCTCTCATTCAGCCGAGGCCTGTCAAACAGTCTTTCAAAGGAGTATTTAGGACCACAGACCTTATCTAGCTTGGAAAGCTGCCATATAAATATTTTCCAAATGAGGTGCTGTGCAAGGAAAGGCTGGGCACAGAGTCTCTGAGATTCAGGGACATATCTTCACACTCCTGAAACGAATCTAACAGCCGAACAAATTGTTTCCTGCAAAAGCCCCCTCCCCTTTCGCTCCTCTTTTATTCCCTATGGGAGGGGCCATTCACCGTCCACCTGTGGCTCTACTCCCAAGTCGATCCTGATTTCTGAGCCGCTCTTTTCTTCTGGCAGCTCTGCGCATGTGCACACCGGGAACAGGCTCCAGCTGTTCCTCTGCCTCACTGCTGTCTAGCTCCGAAGGCAGTTGAGAACCGCCAGACGGCCTCAGCCCCGTCTCTGCCTCCATCGCTGGATGCTTTCAAGAAGAGACCGGACGGCCCTTTGTCAGAAATGTTGTAGGTCTCCTGCTTGNGGGTCATGTGTTCCCCTTTTGCAACTTTCTGACAAGCAAAGTCAATGGGGAAGCCTGATTCGCTTAACAACCGTGTCACTAACTTAACACCTGTGGAGTTTCAACTTAACAACGGTGGCAAGGAAGGTCGTAAACTGGGGCAAATTATTTAATTTATAGACTGTCACTTATCCATCTCAGGCTGTTCCTTGCTGTCAATAGCATACTTTTCTAACCAATAGGAAAAGTTCGGAAGGATTCCCGGTGCCGACCCGAGGACGGACCATGACCTATGCAGACCGAGTTCGTGTGCTCAACTTACGACGAAACCTGAACCAACTCGACAGTCTCACCAAAGAGAAAGAGCTGCTCATTCAAAAAACAAGGTCAGTTTTTTCCCGCGGCAGTGCCGAAAACCGGCCTGTGCATGCACACCGGCCAGCTGATTGTTGGGTGCGCATGCGCGCTAGAACCCAGAAGTTCGGCTTTTCCGGAAAGTGGCTGTGACATGTGTGTGCGACATTTCGGTGCAACCTTTTCTAGCACTCAGTGCCAAAAAGGTTTCGCCGTCACTGCCCTAATTAATTTGTGAGCCCCGAGCCAAGTTTCAAAAGAAATCCCGTTATTTGTTAGAAGCAGCATTTCAGCAATTACTTAAGCCGAGTCAGATCTGACCTCACGTTAAGTTATGGCAGAACTTTGCCCCTGTTTCCCTCCCACCCCCCTCCCCTCAGTCTGTGTCATAAATCACATTACCCAACAAGGTGCTCCAGCAAGCTGTAGAATTCCACGCCTCACAATCCTGCTGGGTTAACCTGACATCCGACCCTAGGCGAAGGTATGCACGGAATGTATTCTCCCCACCCCACTTCTGCCCATCATGGCAACTCGATAACAGACATGGCAAGTGCTTTGCGAGTTGACAATGAGTTATCTCCCCTTGTGTAGCGCTTTTTTGGGCTAGTTTTTCTTTTTGATCTATGCGCGGCATATTATCGGCATGGGAGGGCGAGTAGTGCCACAGGCGTCCCAAGAAGAAACAGACTGCGCCAACCGCTCTGGCTGAATCCTGCTCCCCTCTTGTTTCCAGGGAAGAGTTGGCGACTTGCCATGACCGACTGGACATGCTCTCCGACCAGCAGAAGGACGTGGAGGAAGAAATTGAGAAGGAAAAGGAGGCCGGGAACATGTAGGTTGCTCGCCCACTTTACCAGCAGTTTCTCCTCCCGGTGTTTCCACGGGGGTTATAAAATTGACTAAATTCGGCTCCGTTTGGTGGCTGAGAAATTAGAGCCGAGGCAGCGCAGTGGTCAGAGTGCAGTACTGCAGGCTACTTCTGCTGGCTGCCTGCTGCCTGCAATTTGGCAGTTCGAATCTCATCAGGCTCAAGGTTGACTCAGCCTTCTGTCCTTCCGAGGTGGGTAAAATGAGGACCCAGATTGTTGGGGGCAAGAAGCTGACTCTGTAAACCGCTTAGAGAGGGCTGTGAAGCAGTATATAAGCCTAAGGGCTATTGCTACCTACCTACCTACCTACCTACCTTCCTTCCTTCCTTCCCTCCCTCCCTCCCTCCCTCCCTCCCTCCTTCCTTCCTTCCTTCCTTCCTTCCTTCCTTCCTTCCTTCCTAGTGCTTAGAACGCAGTATTGNCCGAACTAGCAGTCAGCTAAAGTAGCCTGCAGTACTGCACTCTAACCACTGCGCCACCTCAGCTCTTGACGTGACCACACTCGCCCCTCCTGCACCTCAAAAATAATAAGGCCTCCTCGAAAATAAGACCAAGCACTTATTTCAGGGGTCAAAAGAAAATAAGACCCTGTCTTATTTTCGGGGAAACATGGTAATAAGGGGATTGTCAATATGTCAACAGTTTAACTTTTTATAAGTTAAAAACTCTTAGAAATGTATGTTGAAATTGGTAATTGCTTTGCTAGAGTAAGAAGAAGAGGATGATTAGGGGACTGGAGGCTAAAACGTATAAAGAACGGTGGCAGGAACTGGGTATGTCTAGTTGAATGAAAAAAAGGACTAGGGGAGACATGATAGCAGTCTTCCAATATTTGAGGGGTTGACACAAAGAAGAGGAGGGCCAAGCTATTCTCCAAAGCACCTGAAGGCAGGACAAGAAGCAATGGGTGGAAACTAATCAAGGAGAGAAGCAACCTGAAAAATAAGGAGAAATCTCCTGACAGTGAGGACAATTAACCAGTGAAACAACTTGTCTCCAGGAGCAAGTTGGATGTTTTTAAGAAGAGATTGCACAGCTGTGCACCTGTGTGAAATGGTATAAGTTTTCCTGCTTGAGGAGGGGGTTGGACTAGAAGACCTCCAAGGTCCCTTCCAACTCGGTTATTTTGTTATGTACTGGGGAATAGTTGTGAAATCTAGGCATTCTTCATCATGCAGGGAGTAAAAAGCGAAAGGGATACTTCACTGTAACTCCTCACCATACACACTGAATGAGTAGCGTCTTTCTGGTCTGAAGTAAAATTGGTTTTCAACTCCGTGAATGTCCAACCAGCAACTAATACGTCTTATGGGGAAAGATGGATTTTTTTTCCCTTTCATTAGAAATTCTGCTGTGATCCAGTTCTCTCTTCCCTTTTCCCTTGCAGCTTTGATCCTCCAGGCCCGATGTCTTCAGGGATGTCTTGCGAAGTTGGGGTGACCTTTAAACCTATGGTAAGTGTCGTGGCCCACCAATGGCCTGCGGAGCTGGCAGCAGATTCGGACAGTGAGGAGGTTGGGGAGGAACATGGGCCAGTCCTGGAGTCTGGGGAAGACTCTGAGGAGGGCTCTGCATCGGAGGCAGAGAGGGGGCCAGGGTCCTCTGACAGTTATCAGCTGCCTTTGGACATCAGTGAGGCAGAGGAACAGCTGGAGCCTGTTCCCAGTGTGCGCATGCGCAGAGTTGCCAGACAAAGGGAATAACTAAGGAACATGGTCGACTTGGGAGTAAGGCCAGACGATGAATGGCTCCTCCCAGAGGAAATGAAAGAGGAGTGAAAGGGGAGTGGAGTTTGCAGGAGACAATTAGTTCGCTTCATTGGTTCGTGTCCCTCGAGATTCCTTGCCAAGTTTGTGGCCTTACTCCCAAGTCGATCCATGTTCCTTAGTTGTTCCCTTTGTCTGGCAACTCTGCGCATGCGCACACTGGGAACAGGCTCCAGCTGTTCCTCTGCCTCTCTGATGTTTGACTCCGAAGGCAGCCAATAACTGGCATATAGCTCTAGCCCCCATCTCTGCCTCCGATGCAGAGCCCTCCTCAGAGCCTTCCCCAGTCTCCAGGACTGGCTCATGTTCCTCCCCCACCTCCTCACTGTCCGAATCTGCTGCCTGCTGGCGGGCCACAACACAAAGGAGAGAGAACTCTGTTCTTATTTACCCCATCTTTCTTCCATATAATTCAGAATAAGATGTGTGCACCTGAGACAGAAGCACTGACTAAGCCTGAACCTATTTAACTTTAGTAAACCTCCAGAAGACCAAAGCCAGTTTTAACCCTGGGGACAAGGCGGACAGCAATAGCAATAGTTAGGCTTTCAGCCCTCTCTAAGCGGTTTACAGAGTCAGCATATTGCCCCCAACAAC